TGTCAAAAGAATCAAAAATCCGGCACCAATCGATTCTAAAACTAGTACTGAAGACAGAAATGAGGCTTTTTCATCCTGCTGTTTCCACCCCTCCTCTCCTGCTCCCTCTCTCCTTCTCTCATTACCTTATTTGGAGTTTCCTGGGCGGATCCCAATCACTCACCTGCTGAGCTTCCCTCCTGAGCCTCATCATTCAATCATCTCCTGCCATAAAAGCCCTGCTGACCTTCTCCCCAGTGCCAGATTGTTTTGTCATCTAAGTGGTGAAATCTAACTCAGTTCTTTGTGAATGTTGTAAATTTATAGACTTATCAGTTTTTTTTTTTTTTTTTCAAGTAGTGATGGGCAGATGAAGCTTCATGAAGCATTGAAGCCTTTTGTCCAATCGGTTCACTCCAGTGCAAAGCTTCCTGAAGCTTCATTTGCTCTAGCAGGACGTCTACTGGACGCAAAAAATATCAATTTACATGAATTTGAAGTGTGTTGCATTTTGCAGTGAATAAAACTGTCAGCAAAATAAAGAAGTATGCAAAACATGTATATTGTAGTGATGTATACTGTGTGTGTATAAATATAAATAAATAAATATACTGGCAGTATGGAAAATTATGAAAAAGCTAATGATCATTTCCAGTGAGGTGAGGGGGGTTGGGGTTGGAGTTTGGACAGTGATTGTGCTTTTGTAACGTTGGGTGATTATGGTTCAGGGGACACATCATTGGTTTTTATTTAAAAACAACAGTTTCTCCACTTCTGTAGAAATATTACTGTACATACCTTGTTGGGAGAAATAAGATCAAAATGTTCCCACACAGAGGACATCCTCCTCTTCTTAGCTGGCTCCATTCTCTCCTGAGTCTCTCTCCTCAATCTCCAAACTCTCTCCAAATTATCTCTGTTTTTCTCCAAACTATCTCTATCTCTAACTCTATCCAAACTGTCTCCAAACTTCCAAACTCTCACTGATCGCAACTCTCCATCAAACACCCACATTTTGAATGAAGCCTGAGCAGTTTATATCGCTGTCAAAACTCGCGGCAAAACCCGAACCACTTCCTGAATCAGTCACGTGGTACAGCCGGGCAGCGAGGCTTCGGACGTCATCATTTTCAGCTCCTCCCCTAAATGAATCAAGCCTCGATACGCGCTTCGCGGAAACGCCCCTCCCTACTCGACACACGCCTCGAAGACTCGATACAGAACGTCACATCACTACCAATCGGTTCACTCCAGCGCAAAACTTCTTGAAGCTTCATTTGCTCAAGTAGGATGTCAACTGGACACAAAAATACCAGAGAATAAAACTGTCAGCAAAAATAAAGAAATATGCGAAACATGTATATTTGTAGTGATGAAAGTATACTGTGCGTGTATATACTGGCATGGAAAATGATTATTTGGAAATGATGAAAATAGAAGTCGCGGCAAAATCCAAACCACTTCCTGAATCAGTCACGTGGTAGAGCCGGGCAGCGAGGCTTTGGACGTCATCGTTTTCAGCTCCTCCCCTAAATGAAGTAAGCCTCGATACGTGCATCGCGGAAATGCCCCCCTCCCCTACTCGGCTCAAGCTTCAAAGCTTCGGTACGGAACGACACATCGCTATTTTTTTTTTTTTTTTTTTGTCTGTTCTCCAGTACCTTGGTTGGGAGCCGGCGTAGGCCGACCAAACGTCTGTTTTTCCACGGACATGTCAGTTTTCTACGTCCTGTCCTGGCAGTTTTTTTTTTTTTTTTTTTTTTTTTTTTATATAATTTATTTTTTTATTTTTTTATATAAAGTTATGCAAATGGGTTTTTATGATCTTTCATTGGGACATTAAATTGAGCGGCTCTCGTAGCTCTCAGGAGTGAGCAAACACAAACAGTTGGTCAGCCAGCAACATGCCGAAGCACAAATGTTAAAGTGACCATATTTCCGTTCGGGGAGGGTGTGTGTGTGTGTGTGTGTAGTACAGAGTTTCTCAATGCAGTGTTTGCATGTGTGTATTTACATTTTTAAGGCTGTCAAATCAAATTTTACATATTTTCTATTCCCTTCCCATATCTTTCGTTCGTTTGTTTTTGGCAACCCCAAAATGCGTTACATTATAGAAGCATTTACATACACACATATATTTTAACATTGTCCAACAGTATGATGTTTTTATTTTACTGTGCTTTGTCCAGAAGGGGTTTTGCCACAGTCCATGGGCCAACAGTGAGCAGCTGCTCCAAAGAAATTAAATCCACAAAGTCTTTGTACCAGTTGTCTATGTCGAAGCATTTATATTTACGGTCCTTCCAGTTCATCATAGTACATTTAGCTGATTTAAAAACGTATAGTAGTAGTCATTCTTAACACTTTCCTGAATGTTTTTTTAGAATGATCTTGAGCTGTATCAGAGCGAGTATAAACGCCCATGGACACTGAGGGATTACACAGAAAAGTACTACCATGTAACGTGGAAAATCACATTCTGTATTGTCTTGAAAGTGTTTTTAATTATCATTGCTGTAGCAGAACTGGAATTGCGTATTGAGTCTATCTTAGTATTGAAATCGAGTTTGAAATGTTTACGCTGTCGGAGCTAATTAGCGGTGTTGTTTCCAGACCTATAGTGCAGTGTCAGTAATATTATTTATCTTTGAGCTCTTACGCTGGCTTTCACTGACATTTCTTCAAATCCAATTTTTCATAAACGTTAATTTAGTTTGGCCTTTCCCTCACAGGAGATCTGATAATGTTCCTATTGTCGCTGGACATGTTTTGTGCATTCTTGTGGCTTTAATTCCCTTTTGAAACATGCTTTTGGTCACACTTTTGGATAAATATTTCTCTGAACCGAGTTTAAAATAATGTTTATGTTTTAGAAAATACTACATATGAGCTCTTGAATGAATAATGGGGAAAATAAACCCCCTGGGAAAGCTGAGTTTGTGTCTGTTTGACCACAGAATGAGTCCGGTGATGGTTTCTGGGCTTAAAACCTGCACAGAAATCCACAATTGTTTCTGTGACATAACGAAATGGGCAGTATGCAAACTAGGGATGGGCATGATTAGCAGTGTTGTGGAGTAACAGATTACATGTACCGGCGTTACGTAATCCGAGTACAAATTATGAGTAACTGTATTCAGTTATAGTTATTGTTTTTCCATGAGTGGTAATTGGATTAGTTACTTTTGTTGAAATAAATGGATTACATGGCGGTATTTTCCTGTTTTCACATTTTGGGCTAAACCAGGACTAAAACCAGGACTAAAACCAGGACTAAACTAGGACTAAAACCAGGACTAAACTAGGACTAAACCAGGTCTAAACACAGGACTGACTAGGACTAAACTAGGACTAAAACCAGGACTAAACTAGGACTAAACCAGGTCTAAACACAGGACTGACTAGGACTAAACAGGACTAAACACAGGACTAAAACCAGGACTAAACTAGGACTAAAACCAGGACTAAACTAGGACTAAACCAGGTCTAAACACAGGACTGACTAGGACTAAACTAGGACTAAAACCAGGACTAAACTAGGACTAAAACCAGGACTAAACAGGACTAAACCAGGTCTAAACACAGGACTGACTAGGACTAAACTAGGACTAAAACCAGGACTAGGACTAAAACTAGGACTAAACTAGGACTAAAACCAGGACTAAAACCAGGACTAAACCAGGACTAAACCAGGTGTAAAACCAGGACTAAACAATATGACACTAACAGTAGGTGGACATAATTTAAAGCAGCAGTGATCTCATATAGAAATCATTTCTCTATCAATCATATTTTTAAAATGGTTAAGTAAAGACTGGACTTTTTATTGTCTTTAAGCAGATAAAACTTCTCATGTTAAGATTTCCTCGTCTTTACTTCTTTACAGCAAACAAAAGTCTGTTCATGGAGACTTGGGCTCAACAGACAATTTGAAGAGAACAAACAAGAATTTTCAGGATGTGGTTGATACATTCATGTTTGTTTGTTTGTCTGTCAGCAATATAACTCAAAAAGTTATGGACCGATTTTGATGAAATTTTCAGGATTTGTTGGAAATGTGAAAAGGAAGAACTGATTTCATTTTGGGGCTGATCCGGAAGAAATCCTGGATTCTGGATCACTTTGAAATTTTAGTTAACATTGTGGTAAATGGGGCCAAAAATTTAGTTTCTCAATATCTGGGTTAATTATTGACCAAACCCCATGAAATTTGACTCAGGGATGGACAGTGGGATCCTCTTTCATATTCCAAAGGCTGATCCGGATCTGATCCACAAGACTGATTTTATCGCAATTTATATAAAAAATGGGGGTGGTCCTTGGCGGAGGTCTGCGCTCTCTGACTGCTTTTCTAGTTTTAAAAAGCACAACAATATCAAGTAATCCAAAGTATTCAGATTATGTTACTCACTTTAAGTAATTTAATGGATTATGTTACAAACTACATTTTGGGGTATGTAATCTGTAATCTGTAGGGGATTACATTTTAAGTCACCTTCCCAACACTGTGCGTAGTGTAAGTAGATGAGGCTGCGTCTGACACAAACACTGGAGTTGTGCCTCACAGTCCCACGTTTTGCCTCTGGCTCCTTGGAGACACTGTAAACACACTCACTGCGTCCTGGGTACGATCGGGATTTTTGAGTCTCCCGGTTTCATCATGGGGCGTTTAAACACAGTGTCCCGGTTACTGCAACATAAAGTTGAGTCACATGCGTCCAAAAGACAAACACTTTTCAGTCTTTTCATCCCAACAGAAGCCAAAATAAATAAAGTGACCAACATAAATGAAGTGAGTGACAATAATATCATGGACCATCACAATATATCGAACTATAAATAGTCTCTTTGCTTAAATGAAGAGCTGTTTAATGTTCACGCTGGAGATCACACACAAGTAACATTTAATTGGAAATGTGAACGACCTCACAAAAACATTGGATTTCACAAAAAAAAAAGTGAATGGAGCATGTACAGGTGAGTGAAAAGGAGCAGCTTCGCCCTGGACCTTTTGGACTTACTCTTGGTGTGGAGCTCCCGTCTTGGTGAGCAGAGTCAGGACGAAGAACATGAAGATGACGAAGACCGCCAGACCCACCCAGAAGCCGATCACAATGGAGTCTGCACACAGAACAAAGTCAGGATTATTCAGAAGTGCTGTGACAAAAGTACAGAGTCCATTTTTACACAATACCATGACTCAAAAAAGCTGTACTATTATTCAACCCCGTAGTCACACTTGTTGTCAGTGGAAAGAACATGCAGCCATAAATAAACATACTCTTCACCCTCCTGCCGTGTGAGAGGTCTTATATTGTTCTGTATCAAGTGTAGCTTCTGTGCACGTCTGTTCAGACTCTACACTGCATTTCTTTGTGCTGTACTGGCACAAATGTAATGACAAGAATAATCTAATCAGATGAAATTACATCGTCCAGAACAAATAATGACAAAAACAACATGACATATTTAGATCACTGTTACTTTTTTATTGTTTTGAAAATGCTATATTCACCACAAACGACACATTAACACGTTTTATAAGTTTCACGTTCATTTTTGACCCTGAGTCCCCCCCCCCCCCCTTTGCTCTCTAAGCTAAGTCACTCCTCCTTCAGAGCACAACACAATCAGCGTGCCATTTTTGGTTCTAAAGTTCCATATGTTTTAAACAGACCATGTATGAAACATGGAACAAAAATTATTTCCCAGATTTCAAAGACCTGAAAATCATGTAAATAAATGGATGTATTTCATCATATCTTGTGTTATTCCATCTTTGAACTGTTGATGAAGGGACAGGATGAAGGATTTAAAAAAAAAAAAAGTATTTAAAATGATAAAAATTTGCTTAGGACTAACATATTTCATAGAAATAGTTTCCTTTAATTTTGAAGTAATATTAAAGTATCAGAAGAAAAAAGTGACAAATTATGTAAAATCCTGCACCTTCTACTTGTTTGTACAATTTTCCCTCCATTACTTTCCCTCCGTTACCATGACCTTTCTTAATAAAAAATCTCATGAGTCAAAAAGTAAGAGGTTTTTCAACCTAATCTTGTACCATATGGTAGAAAACTATATGAAGCAAATATTCAAACCAGTTTGTTAAGGATATGGAAGTGAGAACCAAGAGTTATCACTGTTTGGATTTATTGCCCAAAAAGTGCTGCATATTTCATTCCCTCTGTTACCGACATGAGTTTTTAATTTTTTTGTCAACAACTTGAAAGAATATCACAGGTTTAACTTGACCCTGTTGGAGTGTAACTCTTTCCTACATTCTGATACTTTACTTATTTCAATAGTTCCTCTAGTTTCTGAATAAGAGACATTTGAATGTCAAAAATCTGCCCCCGTTTCCCTCCTGTTACCACTTGACCGAACCCATTTTAAACCTTTTCAGGCATGGGAACAGTTTTGCAGTGAGATTTTTCTATTTAATGAGGAAAGACATTGTTAGATTTAAAATAAAAACTTTTTTTTCTGTGTATATAGGTCCCTTTTCATTACTAGACCTCGTTACTGAAGATTTACTTTACTTTAATCAACAGTTAGGTCACAGTACATTTGGTTCTTCTATATAGTCTTTGTTGAGTCCCTGCAGAGAAATCAGGACTTTGTAATTGACTGTTTTCAAGAACTGTGCGTGCTTTTGTCGTGACCGAACCCGTGTGTACAGTTTGTAATGGTCAGTGTGTATCATCATTAAGCAGCTTCATTACTGAGCCGTATAAAACACACGAGGCGTATTACGGAGACGCAGGAAGAATCAAAGCCACATGCCTCAAATAAATTGACCATAATAGGCTGGGTTCATGTGGCAGCACAAAATTCTAGATCAGGGGTGATCCCAAAGGGGCCGGATCAGAAAACTCATGTCATATAAACCCCAAAAAAAAAACAATAAGTTCAAATATTTGGGCAGAGAAACACAAATCTATTACAGAAATATTTTTTAATTGATGAACTCTTTCTTTTACAAAATATTATAATATTATGAACAACCTGAAACTTTGTGTTGAAATTGTGTTTTTCTTAAAGTTTTAAAATGAACTTGTCTGTAAACAGGAATAAGTCCATTTTTCTTGTAAAATCCTGCACTCGGCTCCACTTTTCTCATGTTGGACATTTTTCTGATGAGGGTGTCACGGTCAACAGTCAAAACGATCGTCCTTTAAGAGCGTTTGGAAAGAGACAAGTCTTCATTTGTGCTGCTCTGGTGGGAGGGGCCACGTACAGAGACGCTGGAGACGCTGCTGTGATAAACACCACAGAAAATTACCAATATTTTAATAGAAAATATTATTAAAATATTTTAGTAGAAAATCAGCCGAGGGCCAGATTAAAGGTCTTGGAGGGCCGGATCTGGACCCCGGGCCTTATGTTTGACACCTGTGTTCTAGATGCTCTGTAGCTGGAGATTGCATCATGATATTTTATAAACCACTCATATTCACAGTAACATTAACGTTTGACTTTGGGTTTTTCAGTATATGTCCACAATAATATCTTAAAAAATATCTTGAATTTAACAAAGAGAATAATTAAACATTTCTCTTCTGTTCACTTTGTCCCAGTTTTCGTGGTAGTTACTGTAATTGCAATCAGACAAACACTTATTATACTGACACAAACTGAATAAAATATATTTTCCTGCAGCAACACTTTGAATCAGAGCTCCTCATCAACTTTATTTTCTTGTACTTTTCTCAAGATCTGAGCTGTAGAGTGGTAAATACTGTATTTTCTGGACTATAGGCGAGTTTCATTGTTGACAAAAGCGCGCGTTGCATGCTGGGAATTATTTTGGTCGGCGGCAAGAAACACTAATTCAACATGACGGACGGAGCGAGAAAGCACGTAAAGGGTATTGATCCTGGTTATTTATCCACTCTAACGGCAGAGGACCCAAGACCATTTGACCAGAAATTGGTCATAAGCATCGACGGACGACAAATCACCCTTTTCAACCCCGACAAAAGGTGGAACAAACCAAATTTCTGGTCGGAATCTCCAACTACCTGGACAAATATTCACTTGGGCGACATCCACAATGACTTGGTGGAAACTCCTGGGCCATTCACAGCAGAAAAGATGAAAACCTCCAAGAGTCTCGATGTGTTGTTGAACTTGTTGGAGTCCACGGTTTGTTAGGATCTTCTACGTTTGCTCTGCGGATGTTTGAAAGTCGTTTAATTCACCGTTAGCGGTTCTTTTCACTCAGAATACGAAAAAGACATTTTCCTTCTTCCGTGCTTCTATTTGTGCGTCCGATAATGCAGCAGGAATTTACCATTATCGGGGATAAATACACGAGGTTACACACTGTGTTTGACGCTACCGTGTTTCTTGCCTCCGACCAAAATATTTCCCAGCAGCAACGCGGGCTTTTAATAACAATGACGTCAGCTGGGTGCACTCGTAAAGCTTCAACCCCATCAAAAAACGACACAATCCAGAGAGACCTACACACAAATCCACTCGGGCATCCCAGCAAACACCCACAGACACACTCATGTGCCGCTTTACTGAACAACTGAGTCACTGCGAACACGCCGACAATCCGCTGGTCCCAGACACACCCTCCCTACACGCCACAACTGAACAAAGCCCAGAGTCACCGTGAACGAACAAACAAACAAAACCACTCACCCATCACACTGTTGGGTTTCATTTAAAGTCCCACGTGGTTTATTTGTGAAAAAAGTTTGAAAATAGACCATTTAATGACCAGTGTTGGGAAGGTGACTTTTAAAATGTATTCCCCTACAGATTACAGATTACATACCCCCAAAAGTAGTTTGTAACATAATCCATTACTAGTTACCGTGTAATTTACCTTAAGTTACTTAAGGTGAGTAACGTAATCTGAATACTTTGGATTACTTGGTTTGCTATAGAGAAGCAAAGACATCGTAACATAAGATGTTTTATCTGCTAAAAGAAAATAAAAAGCCCAAACTTTACTTAACCGTATTAAAAATATTATTGATAAAAGAGACACGTCCGCGCAGCATGATTTAGTCCTGTTAAATCCTGGTTTAGTCCTGGTTTAAACCTGGATTTAGACCTCTTTTATACCTGGTTTAGATCTAGTTTAGACCGGTTTAGTTTCCAGCAATGAGTGGAATTATTGAAAAAAAAAAAGGGCATATAGTCCAAAATGTGAAAACAGGAAAATCCCTCTGTGTAATCCATTTATTTCGACAAAGTAACTGTAATCCAATTCCCACTCACTGAAACAGCAACTGTAACTGAATACAGTTACTCTGATTACGTAACTCTGGTACATGTAATCTGTTACTCCCCGACACTGTTAATGATAGTGCGCCTTATAATCCAGAGCGGCTAATAGTGCAGAAAACACGGTAAAAACAAAGAAAACCACTGGGACAGCCTGTATGCTCCGAGGTGTGAAAGAAAACATTAGGGGCCTGAATTGATGATTCTGCTAAAATGACTTGGGCACAATTCACACAGTCTTGACTTCAGTGAGGACGGCAGCGCGAGCATTTTGAAAGGCCCATATTACGCCATTTTTGATCCACGTTATAATGCTGTTTCTTCATCAAAAACTTCAAAAATCTGTCATGTTTGAACTCCATCTTGAAAAAAATGTGTTTTTGGGAGTTTTTTAAAGTGAGGTAGTGTCAGAATAATTTTATTATCCCATATTTGCTAAATACTTGTGTGATATTCCAGGCCTATGAGTTAACCATTTATGTACTACAATTCTTTGATTTATAATGTACCAATCACTTGTATGAAAATGAATAACCTCTGTGTGTTTGACAACTGTGTGCAGTGTCCTATCGCTCTAGTGAACCTCCAGATGATTCCTCACATGAAGCCAACTCCCACTGTCACACATGCAAGAGTTATGATGGTGTCTGACCTAAGGCACCTCCTGATTGTTAATCATGTTTTATGTGTTTGTACTATGCATAGCTGCACCAGTTTCTTATTATGTCTTTGCTGTTTCCCCTTGAGAATTATCATTCTGTAACTAGGGCCTCCTAATGAAATAAAAAGAGGAGAACGGCCTTGAGTCATCAGAACGTGTGGAGACTGTTGGTTTTGATGCCCACTCTCTGCCCGTTCTCCTCGCGAGTAAAACT